GTGTGTGTGTGTGTGTGTGTGTGTGTGTGTGTGTGTGTGTGTATGGATATATGTACGCAATCAGGTTATCAGGGATGCCCTGGAATCTGGGAAGGTCGAACGGCGACTGGCTAATTTCAGTCTTCCATCTGTTCGAGAAGCAATCTTGCAGGTGAGTTTCAGCAGTTTTGTGGTGACGCTTCGAATTACAAGGGAGGGCAGTATGCAATGGATCACTGTTTTTTATCTGTTTAGACTCTGGAGACTGCTGCTCCGTTCTTTTGACCATTCTCCTTTTTTCTTTTGGGCGGGGGAGGGAGGAGCAGGGGGATCAGGGGCCGCATTTCCTGATGTGACTTTAATTCTTGAATGAGCAAAAGGGACCATGCCGATTTTCTTGATGTTGTACCAGTTCCTGACATTACGGACTGCTTTTCCATTTGTTTGTTATTTTCCTTTTTCCTCAGTTCATCGGAGCTCATTTTGTTGTGATTATATTTCCCCTCGTTACTTCCCATCCTTTTTGCTTATCCCTCCATGTTCCTTGCAACAAGACTTTGTGTTTATCTCCCATGCACCCAATACTGCTGACAAGTTGATATTAACTTGATAACCATGCACGGCCTTCCAAGCTTGGTGGATGGTTGGAATTGGAACGAGGCCCGATGTCTATGGAGTGCTATTTACTCTGTTAAAGTGTTTTTATCTTCGAAGATGTTACTGTGTTTATTGCTTTGTTGGCTTAAGCTGCTCACGGTTCTGACGTACACTACCATATATGGATTTGCATGCATGCATGGAATGGCGGTTTGTTTGATGATGAATCCAGGTCCTGGCCCGGGTGAATGCCGCCCGAGCAAAAGCTGAAGCTCAGGCAAATGAGGATTCAATTTTAGCAGAGGTTTGTTTATCCTGTCACGACTCACGTGCGCATTGTGCACTTCTTGTTGATGTTGTACTGGTCTCGCCGTATGTGATTTTTTGAATTTTCCCCCCCTCTGAATCGGCCCGTCTCCAACGATTTCGCCATGCTCTGGAAATCATCACCGAAAACAGGTCCATTTTGTTCGCAGTGTAGATGGCCATCTCTATCGATCTGGTCATCAGTTGTGATGACATTTCCATTTATGATTCGCTTTGCAAGTTGGGCACCTTGTTTGAAATCACAAAAAAAGAAATGAAATCAAATGAATCAAATGACAAAGGGGGGAAGGCGAGCAAGGGGGATGAAGGAGAGCCTAAGCTGGTAGAACCATACTCCCTATTGGCGGGGAGATGTCAGGACTCTGGTGAGCGTTTCTGCAAACCTGCCTACCTGCCTGCTTTTCCGGAGCCTTTGGACAGAAAGAGAAGCAGTCATAAAATGTGGAATCGAGTGCACTTTCATTGCATGGCTCCGTTTTTTATTTTTTTTATTGCCTTTCAAATTTTTTGTGTTTAGTCGCCCACCTTTTTTTCCAAGTGTTTTTTTTCTCACCATTTTAAGTTTTTAGCTACGCTACCGGCCGGGCCGCCCGGCTCCCGGGTGGCCAGCCCGTGCAAGGACTAGGGAAGGTCCCAGCCAAAAAAATAAAAAAAATCCAAAAAATAACTATGTTATGCAGAAAATTAAACTGAACAACTTTTGCCTCAGGGTCACATCGAAATTCTTCACCAAATAACTATTGTCAAAGGACCATGGTAACCGCCCGGACGTCCGGACCGGGTTCCAGACAGTCCGGTGTCTGGTGTCCGGTCCCCATGTCCGGATGGAGGGCCTTGGGGCAAAAATCAAAAAAAAAAATGGGGCGGCCCAGGACGTTTGTCAGGTCCTAGCCGCCCCTCGAAAAATAACAGGGTGATTTTGAAGTGTCCATTCACCCCACCGGACATGGCCTGGAGGTCCAGACACAAGACACTGCAGGTTTTTGAGGTGGCGGGTTTCGCACAGGCCCGAGCAATTTCAAAGCGGCCGTTTCGACGTGGCGCCCGCCTCTGCTGCCCGTTGGGGGGGGGGGGGGAGAGAGAGAGAGAGAGAGAGAGAGATGTTGCATGGCCGGTAGCCCGAAGCCTCCGACGGACCAGGAATGTTACATTTTACATTTTCGAAGTTGCCTGGGATTGGTGGGATTTTAAATCCTGCAGATTCAATGTTGTTACAACCCTTACGGGACTATTCCCTTTTCTTTGGGAAAAAAGGGAGGGGAAAAAGAAAGAGGTTGCCTAGAGTCGTGCCTAATATATTCATCCTTGATCTTCATGCAGACCATCTGACCCAACTGTTGATAAGAAGTGGTGATTCTCTGCAGTTTGCTGTTCGATTTGAGTTGTGCGATGCTGTTCGACTTGAGTCGTGCCACCTGAGTTCTGTGATGCTGTTCGACTAAAAGTTGTACGATGCTGCTCGACTTGAGTTGTGCGATGCTGTTCGATTTGTTCATGGGATATCTACTCTTGTTTTTGTTTTGCGTGTGACTTGAGCTGTGCGACGCTGTTTGATTTGAGTTGTGCGATGCTGTTCGACTTGAGTCGTGTGACTTGAGTTGTGCGATGCTGTTCGACTTGAGTCGTGTGACTTGAGTTGTGCGATGCTGT